GCATCCTCCTGACAACCGGTGTTCTCCACTTAAGCGACAGGTAGGAGCACTGGTGCCCCCCCTGAGAGCACCAGCCAGGGAGTGGGCTGCAGGGGACCCTCAGGGGACCCTCACTGGGGTCAGTGCAATTGGCCGTGGGGGGACCCAAAACCCCCGGTTGCTGACTGGCTACTGGGGGGGCAAGTGCCCCCCTGACTCAGGAGGCACCAGTCACCACTTGATGAGTTTTGTTGAGGTGTTGCAGGGGTGCAAGTCCCCGCAGTTTTCCCTGCACCCCCTCCCCTGTCTCAAGTGCCTGGTGCATGGTTGGGTCAGGCAGGAGATATACCCACATGGCCTAAAGCAGCACACAGGAATACAGTGCAGCACTAGCCCGGAGCTGTGAGATATCTGGGCTAGGCCAGAGCCATACTATGTTCCCCCCTTCTGAGCACTGTGCACCTCCTCCCCAAGTCCCTGGCAAATGGCCAAGTTGGTGTCACACTGTTCCATATGCCACTTTGGGCCACATGGGAACAACTGGAGCAGTTGTCCTGCCCCACCCAGGCATGTACCAGGGACTTGAGGTCAGGCAGGAGCTGTGCCAACCCCTCCAGCTGTGCCTACATGGTGCAGCCCGAAGCACTGCATAGGAACACAGTGTGGCACTGCACTAGCAGCCACCATGCCCCTACTAAGTCCCAGTCTGGCAGGCCTTGGATAACCCACAGCTCCTGGCTCTCTTTCTCCTGCCAGTGGGGAGAACTATGCTGGAGCTTCAATTCCTGGTCTACAAATGGCCACAGGGCCAGAACTGTATGCAGACAGCCTCTCCAGGCTGAAAATTGGCTAGGACCTTGGTGCTCCCTGCCTTGAAGCGGTTGGGCAGGGGCAGGCAGTGGTTGGGGGTTGGGCAGGGTGAACCGGGCCAGGGAGAGGATTGGCTGCTTAGTCACTGGAGCTGCTGCTGTAGCCAGCGATGGCACAGTAAGGGAGAAGGGCAAGAGATGCTGAGAGCCAGGGCAGCCACAGGCTGCATACAATTCTCCTTCAGAGGAGCAGCCACGGGCCAGACAGAATCATTTGCAGTGCCAGATCTGGTCCATGGGCCATATTTTGCCCACCCCAGGTCTACAGCCACTCTGTCTAAAACTCTTTAAATATATTCAGATGTCACACATGAATAGAAAGAAAAAAAAGCCAATGCAGTGAGACTGGAGTGGGAGGATGTGAAGTCAGGACAGAATTACAGTCTTCAGTGAGGTCGCAGGAATGATTTCCAGATTCAATGCCATATTGTACATGGATCCATCCAAAATATTTCATTAGTAACAGAATAAATGTCAGAATGACCTGGGGAAAGTTATAGCTATAAAAGAGAGGGATGAAATGTGGCTAACAGTTCATAAATCAGTTAGAAAAGTGAAAATAAAAATTGTAAGTTTTAACCTGCTGTATTCTGGATTTATCAAACCTCCCAGAGCATAGCCATCTGCTTTCAGTGAGATATTTTGCCTTTGCACCCATATTCAAGGGAAACTGCTACATGTAGCTTTCTCTTTATCATCTGTCAAATGAAAAAAAAGGTACATATCTGTAATTTACTGCAATATTCCTGAATCTCATTAATACTAGTATGAATATGGAAATAAATAAAAATGTCCCCAAAAGTGTCTCAAAGCTGAGGAAATGACTTCTCTGGAGCTGTTAAGTTTCGTCACATCCATACATTTAGGCTTCACACAGTAGATGGGCTTTTTATGGAAACATATTCAATTACCCGATAGGCTATTATGGCTCCTTTTCATCAATAAGTCAATAATCTGCATTTTTAAGCATCTCTAAATATGCACTGACACAATAGACTGTATCCATCCAGGTCCTTTTTGGCCATTAGGCCATTAAAATGAATTCCTAAAAGCCATTAAGTATGGATTTAACGGAACAAATGGAATGAGTCTCTAGCATGTCAATGCTGTTAAAGTCACACCATTTAAAACCTCCTCAGTGGGTAATTTAATAACGTGTGCATCAAAAGCCATCAACTCTGGATTTATGTGATAGACTGAGGATTCCAGCTCCAAAAAGCATTACACCTTGTGGTAAGTGTTATTACCCTGAATAGTCCTTCTTGGAGTCCATTCAAGTACCCACAAGAGTACCTCCAAGAATAAGCATTTATATGTATTCATAAATTTATGCCCTGACATTTGTATTACTGGCTCTGCTTTGGACTCATGTGTAACCATGGGCATATCTTTTGGCTGCTCTGTGCTTCAGTTCCCCTATCTGTGACTTGGAGCCAATAAGAATAGTAACGTGGATATGATGCAATATTTTATTCTATATTTGTAAAGCATTGGGTCGCAAGATACTATGGAAAAGGCAAAGCATTAGTACTCATATTATCATTTTTACTGCACAGTTGTTTCATTAGTCTATTCTGTCACTAAGCAATAGTGTGGAAAAAAGTAGTGGTGGTACAGTCAAAGAAAGTAATGCAGTCCTGTTGGGAAGATGATTCATCTTCTAAGAGTCCACGGCTGAGCAGAGTACTTGCAGTGAGTGCTTTTTTGTTGTTGCTGTTGAAGTTGACCTGTTTTTCTGATCAAAAAAACGTTTTGTGAAATTGGAGCAATTTTTAGGACAATTTTTATAACAACATTTCACATGAATGTTTTTCCCCTCATCCATTACAATGTAAGTGTGGGGGACAGGACAGGGTGGAATTGGCTCGTCGTAATAGGGTTTTAACATGGCTAGCAGAATCTTTGGGTTATGGTTAGTCTCACTGTACTGATTCTCCAGGCTTTGTTACATGGTAATTTTGGGCAGCTCCTAGAGCCTGGACTAGCTGCATATTGACACCTGAAACTAGTTTTAAGCACTCATTAGGCAACTCAAAGTAATGCCACTCCAGGGTAGCACTCTCTCTTGATCTGTGTTACTCAGGCTTGGCTCCCTGCCCACCCCTCCCATGTTACACTAAGGTGCAGACACTCTAGGTTGTATCTTAGTGCGATCACCCCCCACCTAGATCAGGGCTACTGATCCCAACCACCCTCTCTAGCACCCCAGATTCCCACTCAACGCCTTCCCCCCATCACTTACTTGTGACTACCTGCACTGTCTGTCCCAGAGGAACAGGCAGGGAAGGGTTACTTCCCCGAGGAGGGGGATTTGTACCTTTTAGTCCTCCAGGCCCCTGCTGGCTTGAAGTTTGACTGCTCCAAGTGAAGTTAGCACTAGCAGGGTGCATCTACACCACTTGAACCATGGGCGCCTGGTGCCTCCCAAGTCTGGGGGGGCACCAGCAGCATGACCAGGGAGGGGGGCTAGGTGGCATACCAGCAGCCAGCTGGCAACCGGTTATGAAAGTACTGGCACTTCCACATGTGGCACGGCAGCAGCAGAGGCAATTTTAGGGGCGGGGCACAAGTGCTCTCCATGCCCCGCTACCAGCTGAAGCGCTTGCCATCAGGAAGGGCACCAGGGCTCTCGGGGGGGGGGCGGCGGCATGTGCCCCGTCCATGCTCCCTTACATGTCGCCTATGATTTGAACATGTGGCCAGGATCAATATACTCCAGAGCTTATTAGTGTTCAAACATGCAACTGGGACTGCAGTATGTTGAGCTGGGGTGGAGCATGGCAGGGGGCTGAGGAGAGGTGGCCAGCCTGCCAGCCCAGCACTGCTCCCCCTGGCTCAATGTGTTGCAGAGGGGCTGGCTGGGCACGAGGGTGCTTCAGTACAGGGTTAGCTAGCAGGCACCTCCCACACTGAAACACCCTTTTGCTCCAGACAGCTGGGGCTGTGTCTACACATGCACTGCTGCAGGGTATTTTACTCTATCACAGGATAGTACTTATACGTACAAGTACTATCCTGCTGCAGAGTAAACTAGTTTACTCCGGCCTAATAGGGGGGCACGCGTAGATGCCGAAGTCTACCGCACAGCAAGTGTCTTCTGTAGATGCACCCACAATGATCAACATTTGAGCAGCACACTGCGTAACGTGCAAAGCTCTCAGTCTAATCAGTTGATCACAACCAGCCAATAAAGAAGCCTTTTTGATCTAAAGAGGAAAGGACTGGCAGTAGGATCGTCCGTCAGTCAGCACTGCAATTGGAAGAACAAAGGGACTCAAAAGAATGAAAAAATAAACTTACAAACAAGTAACCAAAAAAATAAATTAATCAGCTGCTAGGCTTTGCATTTTACATGCAGGGACCAGCATGCGATTGGCTGCTCTAGGAACCACTTTACCACTCCTGCTCTTCCTACCATATTGCCTGTGTTTATATGATCTGAGATCAAGACCATCAGGTAAGCTCCCCAAACTAGGAAACTGCCTTAAGTAAATGCAAGCATTTTTGCAGTAGGATGCTTAAGTTTCACCTTTTCATTTTCCCCTCAACTCCACTGAGTTCCACAACAGCAGTGGGGCTGGACCCATGATCTCGCAAGGCCCCTTCTGTCCCTAAACTTCTGCGAACTCTTTTCAAAGGCAAGGAGAGACTCTTCAGGAACAGCCCAATTTCAGCAATTGGGACATTCAGCGATATTTGGCATTTGCAAGACTCGGGCGAAAACCTCAAGATTTTTAAAATACAGGGCTAAATCCTGAGTTCGGATGAAATGGCACAGCTCCATTGACTTCAGTTGACTTAAAACAGCTGAAGATTTAACCCATACCATACTTTTATCAATATCCTTACCATAAATCTGGGGTAAATACTATTAGTAGGGGAAGAGCATGGGTTTAGCACGCAGTTGCTGTACATGCTCGCTTTCTTGTCTCACTGGCAAGCTCCCCTGCACAGTGAACTCTGTGGAAGACTAAGCTAATCCATGCCAGCAACAGTCTCCAATCTTGTACTATATTCATAGTTCGTCTCGCACCTCAAAGCTGTTAGCAAAGCCCTGAGTGAATTCATCATAAAAGTAGTGTGTTACCATAAGCTAGAAAAGGATTTTCAAAGAATTGTGCTACCAGCTGATAAAGGATTTTGGAGACTGTAAATCTTGCATTATTTATGTAATACACAGTACATGAGAGGATGGGCTGACATACTGCTCAGTGCAGGAAGAGGCTGTAATGAATTCTTCAGCTTCACGTAGAGACAAGAAATAATGGAGACATTCAGTTAATAAACGACTCAACACCAAAAGCCAATGTCTGCTATGACTGGCAGCATAAGCCCACAATTAATAAACAATGAAAATAAAACTAATTCAATGCAGGGGTAAGGTAAAGGTGAACGACAGGGAACATAAACAAAATAAAGAACTTGACCTTGTACCGACTTTGGATATAAACCCCCCCTTGAAGTCATTAGGAGCCCTGAAGTTGCTGGGATGCAGGCCCAGCCACTAAGTATTCAGAAGAGACAAGCTCAGGCAGTTGCCGACTTAAGCTGTCAGCAATCCTCCTTCCAACCTCAGCAGGTTCTTCCAGTTCTCCCATTTTCCAGCTTCTCCAAGCAAATTGTTTGAGATTTATCATGTTGGAAACTTTCAAAGAAGAATTATGTTTCACAAAAAAAGACTGGAGGTTTCGGCATACCAGATAAAACTGGCAAAGACCTTTCCAAATGTTTCCTGGGGAAAGAGAACACAAAAGAGCTAAATAGTCAGGTCATCAGTCACAGGTCAGCCTAATGAAGAATAAGGACTTGAACCTTAGTCACCCCTAGGACAGGGGAGTGGCCTGCCAGCCACATGTTCTGGGGCAGGGTTCTCCTTTCCCCTGAACAGAAGAAAGGCAGACATCTGGAGTTGTTACTAAACACAACAGTCACATCCACAGGTAAGCAAAGGGTCCAAAAGTGGTTTAAGAAGGGGAAAGGAAAGAAGCTTTCAGTGTTCACACAAAAGTTTATTGTAAAATATTTTCCATAGTGTTGTGTGTAGTTCTTGGATCTACCTTTTGACCACTGCTATAAAGGATGACACGCACTGGGCAAGCGCCAAATGTACATATATCCCAAGCATCATACAGCAGGATGCCGCTTTATTGTGTTTGCCAGATTTATTGCTGCAGTTAAAAGGACAAGGAGCAAAGAATATGAACCAGTGTTAACTTGTACACTTTATTTTTCCTATTAGTTTGCTTAGGTCTTGGTTTTATAATATATACCACAAACACCTTGGCGACGTCTGAAAAGTAAAAAATAGTAGCAGGGGAGACAAAAAAATCAATATAAAACGCACAACCTGTGTTATGTTATATTATCCCATTTTGTGAAATTTAAGAAAAAATTTATCAGTTCTTATCATAAAAATACAGAACTGCATGAATGTTTTGCGCACAAAGCAAAGCTAAAATACTCAGCACTGATGCTATACAACACCGAGGGATTGTGCACCTTAGAAACGCATCTCAAACACTAATGTCCTTGAAATTAGATTTTTCCTATCATTAGCAAAAAAAAAAAATTGGAAACATTCACTCCATTTACTCATTTGACATAAGCAAAAATAGGAGTATACTAGGAACTAGTGACTTTAGCTACTGACCAGGCAGCATGAGTGGGAACCTTGAATTCATGCAGAGCTCCACGGAAGTCAACAAGGCTCCAAATTAATGGAAGAAGCCACCATCATGTTCATCACTGCAGGCTTGAGTCCTTTAAACACTAATCTAGAGGCAGGAGAAGAGGAAAAGACAAATACACTGAATACAACGTCCTGTAGATGGATCATGGTGTGATAAGGAACTGCCAGGTTCAGACCCAAGGGCTGATATATTAATTGCTCTGAGCCAGTCCCTTCGCCTCTTGATCTATAAAGGTTTCCTCATGCAAAATGCAAGAGTTATTCTATAGAATGAGCTCAAAGCATCAACTCTCTCTTCTGCTTAAAGATGCTTCAGTTTTATTAAACAAATCAAACATTCAGAAGAGTGAGGAAAGTTTGAAACATGCACTTGAAGCGCCCTCCTCTTGATCTCCAAAGGGCTACGTTCTTTATAAAAAGGTGTGCAAAAACTATTCAACTGTCACTTAACTAAAAACCTTTAAAATAACTTTTAAATAAGGCTAAACAAATTTCATTTTTTAAATAACTTAATTGTGCACTATATTTTGGACAATGCCCATGTGTTTGAGATGGCAGCTGTTGGTTACTATGACCCTGGACGGGGCTTATGTAGGAAAGGCAGGACTTCACTAGAGCCTTCAAAACCTGTATTTGTCTGCCCAGGAGACAAAGGCAAAGAAAGGGAGACAGAAGAAAGAAAGGAACAGGAAGCATCTAGAGGGATGAGAGATGATTTCAATTCCACCAAAGTAGAGTAGACAACTGCAAATTATATATACATTTCCACTAGAAGAGACTGCCTTTAACTTAGTCTGAAAACTCCACTGTAAATGTGGTGAATACTTTACAACACAAGTCTTTCCTCAATGTACAACCAAGTATAGAAGTGAGTCTGGGAACATATGAAGCTAACCTGCCCTTCAGGAAGAAAATGGATTTCTTAACATGAATTCACTGCTGGTCAGTGAAATTTAATTGCAGGATCCCTTTGCTGGAATGGGAGGATTTTAAGGCTGCAATGTTGACTGTAATCCATATTTGCAATCAGGAGAAAGCAAGAACACTACCATGCAGCTGAACAAGAACAACTCACAGCACCACAGGGGCTCTTGAAGTCTCTGAACTTTCATGCATTATTATTTTTTTTGGCCTCAGAATGTGCTGGTAATGTAAATAGGGCACAGCAAATAGCACAGCAAAGCACCGATTGCTTGGCACTGTTTATGCGCTCCCTAGGCGGAACGTTTTCCTTCCTATCTTTCTACAGCACCGTACTAATTTCCCAAATATGCTAAACTACAAAGAAACAAGGAATGAGAAATGTGTATTTTTGCTGTTGTTTTGTAGGTTGGAAATGTAGGAGTACATGGCACGGATTCTCTTTTCAGGGCTTTTAAAGTGTCTTAAATTGCACTGAAAGACAAGCCAAGGATAAAACAAATGCAAGAGTGATTCTCCTTCTCGCTTCCTCAGGTATGTATCAGTGCAACTCCACTGATTTCAATAACATTGTCTTTGCAACCATGTCAATAAGGAAAGGGAGAGAGTTGTAGCGTTCAGGAGAATGAAAAGCTACTGAATAAGGGAAACAATAAACAGGTACAATTTGAATCCTGTAGAACTGGAAGGGAGTACTGTACTTCCAACTGTGCTGATTTATAATTGCCTCATTTTGCTTTGCAAAGTAGCAAGCAAGCTCTGGAGAGGTGGATGAAGCAGTTTATTAATACTGACAGCAAATTATCAGTAAAGCCAGGAATATAATCTAGGATACCTGATGCCCATCCCAATGTTCAGACCACTAGGTGACCTCTCACATTTACTCCACACTCTTTTGGAACATAAAGCCCAGAATCTATGCCCACGTGGCAGTCCCACAGCCTTGGGGCCTTCAGCCAAAGGAAGCCTGCAGGGAGGTGTTGCCCCAGACCTGGAGAGCCTTGGAAGCCCAGCAGCTGTTGAGTAAAATTAATTCTTGTCCACTTCCCTGTTCCTTTTGCCAAGAACGTAAGCTTCACTCAGCAGCTGTAGGCTCTTAGAAGCATTTTTTTTCCCCAGATATGCTGTGTTTCAGTGTCTCCTACATACCATTTTTGGAATTCTTAGTTTGTGAGAAGTTTTTGGTTTGGGTCCAGTTTGTCCTAAACGCAATACATTTTTATACATTTCTTGCAAAGTGGAGATCTTGCATTTGGCCACCTCTAATGTTAAAGCAACTAAAGGAAAAACATACAACAGGCGATGCACCTGATGGAGCATGCAAGAGCATTCCTTTGTTACTGATACTTCCATTCCTTCTGTCCCTTTTGGCACAAGCTACCCTCACTCTGTACTGGGGCAAGCTGCATCTAAGCAGGTCGCTAACCCTGCTGCCTTAAGAAAGTCTGCACTAGTTTCACATTTTCCAACCAGCTCCTGAACAGAGCAATCTTGCTTCTGCAACAAACAGGCAGGCAAGTACACCCCAACCCAAGCTTTCAGACATCAAAAAAAAAAAAAAAAGTCAATCCTTATTCTGCACCACCCCTAGCACAACAGCCTACCTTCCTCCTCCAGCACTTCTAGAGTTCATAAGCCTCCTCCTCATTAGCAGGTTATGAATGCCAGCTGGCCCCTAGCCTCCCTGCCAGGCAAATTTATCTCCTGACCAGCTGCAGCTGGGTTCCAGGCTTAAGGGCCACACAGCTTTCTCCTAGACTACTAGTTGTACCCTATTTACACTCAACATGCAAGTCAGGTTGCCCTAGACAGTTCAGTAGGATTTACAGTCCCACTCCTAAATTTCTAGATCCGTTTTGCCCACTGAGCAGACAGATGGGGTCAAGAAGAGCAATAATCGAAGGAATCAGCAAAGGAGCCAGACAGGGTGAGCAGTGGCAGGCTTCAGGGGGATCGGATTCAGATAGGGGACAAAGCAGCAGCAGTAACATAAACTGAACGTAATGGCCAAGTACAGACAGTTAAAAAGCCTGAGGCTGATTTGATTCAATCTTTGCAGGTTAGTCTCAGCTCTTTCCTGATAAGCAACTGAACAGACATTCACTTTTGCTTCTGGAAATGCAGCCGTGTACCTGCGGTGGTCCAGGCTAGAAGCAGGGGTATAACTAGAGCATGCCTCCCTGCAAAACTGGAGCAGATGGCTTGGAGGAAGTTTATCTGCCCTTCTCTGCAAGGAGGGGAGGTGCAAAGCATCCTGAGATGCTGGGGGACTGTGAATTAACTGTAATCTGGAGGGAATCTGGGATGGTAATTCAATAAACCAATGTAATTTAAATCAGTTAAGTCTGATACTACATCCATCCAAGTTTATCTTAAATTGGTTTTGGCAATTTTGAAAGCAGTTTATGTGCACTGAACTTCTGTTGTGTTACAAATTTGAACCAGTGTCCAATCACACCAGTTTATGTGTAATTTCTGTTCCTAGCCAATAGATTAAAGTCCCCCACTTACACTGGAGAGGTGTTCGTGACAGGGGTGGGCATCCTACCTCTCTACTTTCCTATGCTGGCCTTGGCTTCAGAGTGAGAGAGAATAGATAATCTCAGGACAGTCCAAACCATTTAACTCAATAATGCTATAGATTTAAAAGGATGCTGCCAGGGGGAGCGGGGAAAAGGTTATGTTTTGTTCTATTCTATGTCCTGCTTTGTGGATAATATCTAGACAATTTTATTTTTATTGTTTAAAAACAACATGGAGCAATTGTTAAGGTTAAAAAAATCTTCCAGTCTGTCAAAGCAGGGAATTCTTATTGACTTCCACTTTACTTCTTAATTTCAGTTGATCTTGTTGGGAGTTTGCTGCGTAAGGCACATACTAAAGGATTAGGTCCCGAGGGCTGGTAACGGTTCCCATTGTCAGCCAGACACTCCTATGCTGACAGCACTACCATTTCTGGCTTATCTCAAGATTTGCCTGGTGTCCACATGCACAGTGACCATGAGTTCACTTTCAAAACATTTCAGTGGTACAACCACTAACATTTTGCAGTAAGGTTCAGATATAATTTCAGGTATAAATTACTTGGTTGTAATAATGAGTGTCATTATCTTTTTATTATCTTGGCTGCTTCATTAAAAGTAGTCTGCATTGTGCCTGCTACCTTTATCTTCATTTACTGCAGATGAAGGCTCTTGCATTTTTATTTTGTCAATTGCTGATCATTGTGTAAAAATCAGGGTTTCACAGACAGTTTTCTTCCCCTGATTATTTTATACTTTTGATATCTTTTTAAGTCTAACTCAATTTTCCTCACTTTTGGAAGGCCTTTGAGACTCAAATAATTGAAGCTATTACTGTCTGCATGGGAGTACATTTTAGTTGCTCTTGGAAAAAAAATGTAAATCCTTATATAAAGGCTAACTACATTTTTTTTTTACTTTGAGTAAAAACCTTATTTTAAGATTTATGAAATGCCTTTTCTAACATAAGCCTAAGATAGGACCAGAAGAAAGAAAGTATGTGTGTTCTTGTTCCAAAATGCAAAATGTTCCTATACAAAAGAAAACCAGAGGGAATTCCTCTTTACGGAGCTCAGCTTGGGAGAACAGGGAAAAACGCAAAAGGCTATATAGCATTACAACACTAACAATATATGCAGCTGGCATGGTGCAGCGCTCAGTTTATATTGTTAGCCATAAAATATCAGTTCTCAGCTCATTACATCTTTGTTATCTTGCTGGATCAGTTCAGCAAAAACAAGCTTCTCCGTTTTTACAAATAAAGGGGAATTGTGAAAGGATATTCCTGTTTTCTTTAAGCCTACACACTAAAGACCTCTGCAGTTATGGTGTTTCCGCTGCCTATAGTTTTGTGCTTACTGCAGTTGACCAAATACTGTAATTTTGTCCACAAATACTAACAAATTCACTTTTCATTGTGCTTGCTTTCCATGATCATCGATCAACTTTGAAGAAAGCAAATCTCAAACTTAATGTGTGTGCATACACGTGCCAATTCATAGATGTCATAGACATTAGAGCTGGAAGAGACCTTGGAAGATCATCGAGTCCAGCCCCCTGCTCCATGGGGCAGGAAGTCAGCTTGGGTCAAAGGATCCCAGCAAGATAAGCGTCCAAATGTTCATGAACAAGTTACATTCATGCCTGTTACAGTCATTAAATATGCAAATATTAACATATAAAGAGTGCCACCTAGTGGGACAGGAAAATATGCAGCACTTTTATACATTTGTATAAATGAATAAAGTTATTGTTGTTCTTAGCAAATTGATTCTTGATTACATAGCTCTTAATACAAGCCCAATGAGAGGATAAGAGCAATCCCACATGATTTTTCTGACTAATCAAAGCTAAGAGCACAACGGTAAAACTAGCCTTCAAATGCGGAGAACTCTGTGATTGTTCCCGAGTGTGAAGAAAATAAAGAATAAGTTTATACTATAACCAAGAAATACATGTCAAGATACTGATCTACTCGGGGTGTTCCACGAACATTATTAAGGGACAGCGTTTCTCTACCGTCTACTTTTAACACTGGAAGTTGGATGGAGAGGTGATAAGTCTTATACTGCCCTGGCAGCAGGCCATGGTCTTGTTCATACCACTTCTGTGCTAAGTCCAGAACCATTCCTGGAAAGCATATTGTGCCCACCTATTCTTGTACACCATGTAACACATCCTAAAAAGGAGGCAGTGCTGCTCACTTGGAGCAGTCTTGAGCATCTGCCTCAGTCCTGTTCTTGGGCTCTTTGTTTTCAGGGTTGTGTGCAGCTATGCTACTTAATTTGCAGGACGTGGCATCTGCCAAGCAGGAAT